GAGAGGGGGTAATATGCCCCCTCCTCAAGAAGCCATCCTTGGAGCTGATGAGCCTTAATAACTGTCTTCCAGTTTCCTTGTCACAGATTCTCTTTTGAATCACAAATAATTAGATTGACCCAGACTTAATAAAGACACAAAGCACTGGAAACTGGGCAGTTGGTTGAGTTTTTGTATCTTCCTTCAGTGCCTCAGGGAGACTTTTATTTTATAAAACAAGGAAAGCTTTTAAAAAAAAAGAATTGTAAACTATAAATGCCTTCAACTATTTCAAAAACTAATATCTTATTACTAAAACTATATTCTAGTTTAACTATTTTCTATGAACTCTTTATCTGCACTATATTCCTTAAAATCCAGTTTGACTGCATTTTCATATCTTTCTTTCTAGATCTCTATTTAATGCTGACCTCTGTATTTCTTTTGTCTTAAACCCTATGTATACCTATTGTCACTCTCTGTAGAGCTGTACTCCTTTCCTACAGTGTTCAATCTGCCTTTTATCTTTTGTTGGTTTCTGTTTTCTATTTCTGTTCTGTCAAAGTCTTTACTTTTTCTTTTTGTTTGTTTGTTCCTGCCTGAGCTTCTTGACTCTTCACCTGGTCCAAAGATGGCTAGAAGAACTTTCATGTCACACCAGGTCTGAGGGAAGAAAAAATGCCTCTCTCACCCCAGTTTTCCCAGCTTCTGCCTCCTTTCCTGTTGTATCTTTCCTAGCAGAGCTGTTTATCCTTTAGTTTTATTTGCTACTTTTATTCCTGGCCTTTGGCTCTGTTTATTCAGCCTATTCTTTGTGAGACTGTGGCTGCAGAGCTCCCAAGTAGCCATCTTGTCTTCCTTCTCCTCCTCCCATCTGTCCAATGCTGCTGTTTGATTGGCATCTGCTGTTTGATTGGCAGCTGGGTCATCCTGATGATGGGGGAGGGGTATAATGGAGGAGAAGGAAGGAACATAAAACACAGAAGTTTATAATCTGCCAAGATAATCTGCCCTTCCATGCTCCAACCTCTACTTTTTAGAAAGACTGTTGAGAAGGTGGTCAAACAGCTGTTGCAGAGGATTATTATTATTATTATTATTTATTTAATTTGTCCCCGCCCATCTCCCCACAATGGGGGACTCTGGGAGGCTTACAACATACTAAAAAACATTAA